ACCATCTTTTAGGGTTGGGGTTTCACGAGGCGGTTCCCGTCTGGATATGAACTCTTAAGTGAGTGGTTGTGAATGGGCGAGGTTTTGGACATGAGACGGGGCAAGATTCATGAACGGATGATCGAACCTTTGGTCTTAAACCTATTCCGTCATAATGTTTTTGAGGATGTTGAGGATACTTTACCCTTTCCCGACGACAGGGTTAAGGATAGTGCCGAAGCCAAGAGTGACGGCTACTCGGGTCTACTTCTTCTTCCTTCCCTGGCCTGTACCCTCAGGATGCAGTGGGAATTATCACCAATGCATTTGGGGGATCAGCTTTCTCAGTCTGAACCTGAGGCAGAGTGGTCGGGTAGCCTGGAGGCAACTCTAAGGGAATTTCTTGTTCTTGGTTTTGGTTTGGGCCTTGGCCAGTCCCTATTTGATGTTGTCCAAACTTCATAACCAAAAGTCGTAGGATCATAAATGAAGGCGCTTTTGATAGGTTTTTGACTTCAATGATTCCATACAAAATAAGCTTTGGCCAGTTTAGTTTTTAGAGTATCCCCAGGGGCATATTTAAGGGCAAAACCTTGAGGGTTCAGGCGTAATTTGGATGTGATACAGTAATGCTATTTTCTGGTCTGCAAATGAGAGTATGCACTGCTTGGTGGTTGATGGTTTATATTATTGAACACATAACCGTCACATAAATTGCTGCTTGCATGTATTTTGTTCCTCTTCCAGAAACGCTGATATAGATTGTCATGGGCATGACTCACGCATAGGTGGCCTATACGGAAATTTGTCCAGTGAATGTGTTCATATTTTTCCGTCTTTGTCGGCTTGTTTAGCTGAATTTGCGAGAACAGTGGTTTCTTGTGGTGGCGGTGGAGGTGGAATATATTTATCAGTACTCTCTACGGAAAACTTAAGAGAACATTTAATTAAATATCGACCTGGTTTACTAGACCTATTTATAAATGAAGGAAGAAAATTATCCATTGAAAAATTGAAAAGAATTTGTCCATTATGTAATATAGAGATTGAAAATGAAATTCATTTTGTGTTTGTCTGCCTATTTTACAATGATCCTCGAAAGAAATATAGATTATTCAATAGCAATGTCACCGATAAACGCCTGAGTAATTATTCTGATGACAAAGAACCAATCTAATATCATAAATCTTTCTCTATATATTAAGCATGCGTTAGCCAAAAAAATTGATTAATCAAACAACGGGTATATCTCAATGTGTAACATTTCTGATTGTATTTACATGCGTAACTCTCTCTTGCATATGGGCCGGAGGCCTTTTGTACATTAAACTTCTTTGGACTTTGACTTGGCCTTGGTCTTGGCCATGTCCTCAGTCTTGTTCTAAGTCATTTTGGGGGGTTTAGTATTGCCATTGGTCTTATTCTTAGTACTGGCATTGGTTTGGTCTTGGTCTTGGCATTGTTCTCTGCATTATTCTTTGTCTTGGTCTTGATTTTAATCTTTGCATTGCTCTCGGCCTTGCATTATCATTGATCTAGGTCTCAGTATTGATCTTGGTCTTGGTATTGGTCTTAGTCTTGTTCTTGTTCTTGGCATTGGTCGAGGTCTTGATCTTGGCAATGGTTTTTGGTATTGGTCTTTGCATTGGTCTTGTTGGCATTAGTTTTAGTTGGTCCTGATCTTGGTCGTGGTCATGGTCCAGGTCTTGGCCATGCCCTCAGCCTTGGTCTAGGTCTTGTTTTGGGTCTTGATGATGGTCTTGGTCTTGGTCTTGATCTTGATGTTGGTCTTGGTCTTGGTCTTGATGTCGGTCTTGGTCTTGGTCTTGGTCTTGATGTTGGTCTTCGTCTTGGTCTTGGTCTTGGTCTTGGTCTTGATGTTGGTCTTGGTCTTGGTCTTAGCATTGTTCTTGACATTGGTCATGGTCTTGGCCATGCCATTAACCTTGGTCTAGGTCTTGTTTTTGGTATTGGTCTTTGTCTTGTTCATAGTCTTGGCATTGGTCTTGTTCTTGGTCTTCTCATTGTTCTCTGCCTTGTTCAGTGCGGGACCTGTGACCATCTAATGACTTTTATATCACTTTCGCCTATCTATAAAAGTTGAGCAGACATTGCGGGCAAAGTATGGTGATGGTGGTCATGTGTTAGGAGATTGAGATTAATTGCTTGGTGTAATATTCAATCAATAAATGACAGGTGAAATACTTTAGGCTAATGTGATGTAGGATGTTTTTTATAATATTTCAAAATAAGTAATTGAAGACATTGGATTTGAAACAGGGGACATACGTAATAGATATTTCTGATTAAGAGAATATAATGCTTTGAGCCTGCCAATGACCAATTGATGAAAATTAAAAATGAATGGTATATAAGAAATTTCGATTGAGAAATAAGTGATGTTCCTTTATTAGAAGATCTGACTTGCATAGAACCTTACAGAACAAAACCATGGATATAGTACCACCAGAAACAATGTATACAGACAAATATAACATATGGAAACAATTGGGAGACTGGTGAGATGTTTTTATTGTAATTATAAAAATATACTATATGTCATTCTGTGTGATGTATATACAAATTAATTTTAGAAATGAGGTAATGTCCGTGTAGGTTATAGGCATGTGGGGTATTGTCCGTGTCGGGTAATGTCCTTCACCTTCTTGTCACACCTTGTCCTTTCTGAACAGTAGTCTGTTCTGAAAGGGTAAATTCTAAGAAAGATGCAGATGTGAAGCCTTTTCAAAAACGAGAAACCATCCGAGGGATTGGAATATGTTTATACTATTACGAAATCTGTAAGTCTTGCTAAAAATGTTTTTCGTAAAACTAAAGATGAAAAAATCTCGAGGTTCTAAATCTTGGGTTATTTTAAAAAACAAAACCAAATACTACTGTTCGAGCTATTATATACAAAAATTGGATTTATAATGATGAGGCATATGAAGCATATATTTTAAGCGACTATGTCCCTGAACGATTGACAGGCGAATTTCGGTCAAACACATTGGTAGCTGCAAGTACTGATTGTTCTAATACGTTGTCCTTACTCCAGGGGAAATTCAAGATGTTTTACTTTCCGATGATACCACTATGGCATCCGGACCCTACGGTATAAATAATATTCCTTAACATAACTTAAATATTCCTTCTTTCAATCAATATTGAAATTGAATGTCAATAAATAAAAAAAGTAAATGTAAATGACTGCAGTAATTACAGACCAATCGCACTAACAAGTTGTCTGGCAACAGTATTTGAAAATTGTAACCACAAACATGTGTTTAATTTCTTCAAAGACAACAGTATTATGATCAATCTAGAGTCAGGCTTTATACCAGGCGATTCCACGAGCTATCATCTATTAGATTTGTATAGTTTGTTTTCAAGGGCTCGAGAGAATGGAAAATGTGTAAGGGCAGTGTTTTGTGTCATGAGCAAGACCTTTGATACCGTTTAGTATAAAGGATTATTTTTATAAAAATATCTTCATGAATTTGAGGTATTCATTTTAAATGGTTTGATAGTTCTCTACCAAACAGAACCCCCAACGTTTTAAACAGTAAAGTGTCACCGTTAAACTATTTTAATGGCAGGTATTCCACAGGGATCCACATACTCTATTTTTATAAATGACCTTGTTGATGATATAGACTGTAATATTCGGCTCTTTGCAGACGATACGCCCCTTTATGTAAATTGTTGATGATCACAACAGCAAGTAATTTCAATGCTGACATAGAAAGGATATCCGCGATGGCGCGGCAAGTAACGTGTTAATTCAGATTACAAACAAATTTGAAACCATATTGTTTTCAAGACACATTAATCCAAATTGCGATAATTGTTCTCAAGAACAGGCATGAGTAACGGAAAGGCTAAACTTAGACACTGAGAACAATACGTATTGCCAGTCACTCTGAAACTAACTGTACACCCTTATCCAAAATACGGCAATCTCATAAATCATTAACATTTCAAAAATGGTAAACAAGTATATCTATGTAATTTTCTTCCTCCTAATGTCCCAGAGGGAGTTCGTTACAATTCAAGACCATTTTCTTCACAGGTAGAAGTTAACTGCTACAAATCATTTTACCTGATACAGGGAGAATGTGTAATAAATTACCGTATGACATTCTGTAAAATAGCTGTTTATGGTTTCACATACAGTATTACCACGACTGAAATATTTCAATACATGGCTTTAAATTCGACTATGAAAGCAGCTTCTGTCAAATTATCCACTCCCGCGGGTCAGGAGGCAGTGATTCAAATGCATACACATATCAAAGACATATCAAGGAGTCTACAACCTGATGTTGTGGATACCTTTATGAGGATCCTACACATTACTTCGTTTTACGTCGTGACCATTGCAATGATCGTAATATGATATACTGCTATAAAGAAGGATATGACTTGAATTCAGTATTGAATGGAAATACCAAAACATCTCCTTATGTTAACCTTACTATTATATAATCTGTTCACTTGTTTAAAGAATGTAAAATTTAAATATGTGTTTTGTTTCTAATAACTTCATTCTAAAAGTTGTTTGTATGTGTGATATCCTGGTGTGTAGAGGTATATATACACAGTGTATATGTTTATATGTTTATGTGCATGGACGCATCGGTTTTGTTATGTACCTGTATATGTATGAGTGTATTTATGTGCGACTTGTAAATTTGCATAATGTTATAATTTGCAACTGCAGGTACAGTTAATCTACATTTATTATTTTATGTACAGTTCACTTTTATCCATTATTAGATGTCCTTGAAGGGAGATGTGTATAAATAGGCTTCACCTGTTTACCAATCCCTTTCCTATTTGGAAATAAATCACACGTGCATGTGACAGTTAAACAAATAATATTTAGCGTTTTGATGGATCTTGTATTTGACATTTGGATCAACGTCATGTTATGATTGTACATAAACTAGCATTACATTGTAAACGCTGGCAGTTACTTTACGTCTTCTGTTCAAGCTGTATCGTGTTGAATGTTGCAGGTTGTCAAGGACAACGTGAAGACAGTCTGCAAGTGTCACGGCGTATCTGGATCCTGCACGATGAAGTCCTGTTGGCGGCAACTTTCTTCTTTCCATAAAATTGGCACCATTCTTAAATCAAAATATGAACATGCTGTCAAAGTTGGCGCCTACACAAATCATGCAACAGAAAAATCTCGCCATAAAAGATTAAAAGGTCCCAGTGTTTCCAGCGAGGTATTGTCAGCCCGGAGGGGCGACCTTCTGTACTTGGATAATTCCCCAAGCTTCTGTGGGTCAGGCAGATACTCTCCTGGAACATCAGGGCGAGTGTGTGACAAAGACAATAACTGTGAAGTTATATGCTGCGGACGCGGGTATAATGTCCTACACAAGCAGGTGCAACGTTCATGTCAGTGTCAGGTTATATGGTGTTGCAAAGTAAACTGTAAAAGGTGCTTACATGAGGAAAAAATTCATATGTGCAAATAAAGCCCGATCCTATTTCAATGTTATAGTAGCAATGAACTGCATCGATTGAAACATGATTCAGTGTCGACAATTCACAGACAAGCAATGGGATCTTTCACAGTCAGGCCAAGAACTGATTGTGTCAGAGTGTCCGTAAATGTATGTCTGAACAGAGTCATGTGGAGTTTCCATCTTGCAACGATTATGATGGACCGATGTCAAAATAATGATTCATACTGACCCTAACCATCGGAGAATGTATGTATTCATAACCAGTACAACACGGCGTACATATATCTGAGAGTAACAAGTGCACGCTATTACATGTCTATTTGTCTCTGAATGCATATTAACTTACCTACAACAGTATGGTAGTCTACAGCTGATTACGATCTTTGCACAGAGTGACACTCTATAACCACCACGCAATGCATATATATGCAGGTAGCCGTTGATAGTGCACAGAAAAGACATTCCAAATTTCTCGATTAACAGTCCAACCTACCTAGTATTGCAGATCAGAGTTTAATGTGTGCCCAGTTATGTTTGTTGGTGTCCTTAGGGAAGGAGAGAGGAGGTTGAAAGTGTTCCTTACACATCAATTTCGGTTTCATAGTTTATTTTAGAACAAAGTCCTACAAACCTCCTCAATTTTGAGAAAAATGTGCCACAGAAACATTTATTGTTTATGCAATCTAAGTTTGTCAGATAACTTTAAGAAAACCATAGCGGTTTTGCCATTACCATTATGAATTTCCGCTCGACAAATAAGTTCTTCCGTTTGATTTTTACAATTAATAATTGTGTGTAGTTATCAATCAAGCATACAGATATAGAAAAGTAAGCAAATCATTGAAATGAGTGTAACGTGTAAAATCACAACAAGGATATAGGTACTATTACCTTAATGACAACATTAATGACGTAATCATATCTAGGAGCCGATTAATGCGAGCAATCAAACATTTTATTATAAACGGTTTGTATATATTTGACAAAGCACAAGTGGGGGTTGTTTGAAAACGGACGTGTTTGTCGCTATATTAACAACTTGCGAACAACGATGTAAAGTTGATATCTGTGGAGGGTTTCCTTATGATTAGGAGTTGTTAGAGCTTTACACTTATATATCATTTTGTACACACGAGCTTATTTCACCACATATTGATATCATGAAAAGTAGATTGGAGTCTCAGTAAAAAACCTCTCGGAAACATTCATTCAAGGCGTGGGCCTTGTGTCTTGAGGAACAAATATTTGTTCACAATTGATAGCTACAGAGAATACAATGACATACTGTTTGGTTTGATGAATGCAATAGTCTATCTGTTTTTGGTAATTTCTGCTCATCTGTTTCTCGTTTAATATACATTTGCCCATACTGGTATGTCACAACCTGGGGCTACATATCCACCATTTGTCTGTAGGATTTACAGCGCATGGTTGCAATTAATAAATTATGTTTAAAATCCATATACCAATCTTTTCTGGTGGTGTGTTGATTGTTTACATAACCAATACCTGTTTTTGTTTTTAATGTGGAATCCTTATATACTCAATGAAAAGTGTATGCATGTCTCTTTCATACCCCCCACCGCGCGGACGTGACATTGTGATATTTTCATATCTAGAAGACGGTCCTGTGCAGTGTCGCTACTGCATGGTTTTGATCATGGTGACAGTTTTGATGGAAGGGTATGCCTGCAGTCATAGCCTTTAGGTAACGCTGTAGTATGACGCCATCGCTAAAGGGGACCCAAAGTAATGCAGCAAAAACTAACAAAGCAAGACTACATTTGTTATGTTCTCAAATACGGGCGTCATTTATTTCTATACATGTGTAAGGATGCATCTGAGGGTCGAGTCCTGGAATCACCCCGATCATTGGTCTGTGGTTCCAGGCGCAAAGTGCTCAACGTCTTCAATTTGGTTCAATTAAACTTTTTATTTCATAAAATGCGAATACACTGTGATTTAACTAAAATACCGTTCATAGCCTTAACCCCAACACATTCTCAGTGGTTTATTAAAACAGATACATTAGTATACATTTAAAGACAATTTGGGATTTTTTATTTAGGCGAACCGGAAACGGTTCTCCTTTGTGTAGACACCTGTGTATTTGTTATGCGTTTAAGGGCTCCTCTATTAACACAAAAGATAGTACACATTATCTCTAGTGGTCTCTTTATTAGGTGTCATATCTGATTATGACACTTTCAAGGAGGATCGATTTATCTCTGTGGACCCTTATTTCTGTCAACCTTATTGATTCTGCTTATGAAACAGTTGTGATTTACTTGATATCATTCATTGTGTACGTATGAGTGTCTACGGGCTATTGGTATGCTGGAAACTGGCAGAAGTGGCCAGAACGGCAGTGGCCAATGCGTTCAATGTTTCGTCCCCGGTCAACGACAATAGTACCGGATCGATTGACGCGAAATCAACCTCAAACGGCGAATCAAATTGCTGAAACTTTCATCGGGCTACTGGAGTACGAGTTACGGATTAGAAATCGTCTACATGCAGCTCATCTCCATTCTCGACGAACATCAGACTTCAATGGTGTACACGTCGAAACTAGGGTAATCATGACTGGTCACGTGTCATGTTTTCAGATGAGTCCCGATTCACTTTGCACTACCTTGGTAGGCATTGTCGTGTCAGGCGACGACGAAATGATTTGGCGGTGGATCGGTTATGGTGTGGGGTGGCATCACTATGACTGAGCGAACCCCGCTCCAGTTTGTGCAAGGAAGGGTCACTGGACAATACTATCGGGACATCATACAGCCACCCTTTCATGTTCCTTTTGCAAGGCGTGTGGGTCGACGTTTAGTCTTTCAGCACGACAACGCTCGTGCTCACCGTGCACGATTTGTCAATGCTCACCTCCATCAACATAACATCCAAAGAATGCCATGGCCAGCTATGAGCCCGGACCATGATAGGGAGACGTGTCAACGCCAAAGACCGCCGACCACGTTGGCTAAACCTGGCCACACGCTGCAAGAGGAGTGGGACAGACTCTCTCAAATCACGATTGGGAAACTCATACGCAGTATGCCTCGTCGAGTGAATGAACGTTTGACAAATCTTGGCGGTATTGCGCATTACTGATCCAAAAACGTCAACAACGAAAGTTCTCCTCCTAATACACAACTACAACATATTGGGATACTGTACGGTGCACTGACTGACCGCAGTTTATTCTTCAACAAGTATTCACATTATCATGAACATCGTCCGCATCAGGAACATCACCAGCATCATGACCATCAACCAACCGTAATTAACATGAATATAGATTCGATGCTTCATATTTTCAACGTGTACATATACACAGGCATCGACGCCTTATTACGTATTCTAATGGCTCGTCAGCGCATACTCATCAGAGTATATCCCAAATCCATACTCTCACAACTGGAGTGTTCGAGATTTTAACTATGGATACCGATCCATCTCACGACGTATTATCATGGCTCGCCAGCACAACTTGCAAGCAACGCATAACATCCTGATCATCATATGGACAGCCGCAGGTACTACACACATAAATAATAAAAAATATAGATTCAACCGACGTGTACTCCAATCGGCATCATAGATAACCGAACATGTTTAATATAGCCAGCCCGACTGCACCGCACCTGAGAATGAAGTTTCAACTTCCCGCCTTTACTTATATACCCATTACGAAACCAGGTTACCTCCCTTTGTTGTGCTTCCCGACGTTAGGAGAAAATAATTTCGTTCTAATTCGTCCCTTAAACGAAAGAAATTATATTTCTCCTCCTTCTCCCCCTTAACACAACAAAATACACAACTACAACATATTGGGATACTGTACGGTGCACTGACTGAGGAAACAAAGGACGGGCAATTCAAAGCCCAAAAGAAAGAGACACTTTTAATCTATTTTCGATGCTGTCCTTAACATAGCCATCTTTGGCACTCTCGCTCCTCCAGCGACCATGTCGTTTAAACATTCTATCAGGGATGCCTCTATTGGCTGCCACTGTTGCTCCACCGGACCTCAAACTATGCAAACCGTAGCATTTTATGTCACGTACATAAGGCTTAAAGGCTTCAATAAATAATTCCCTCAACCGAGTATAAGACATCGGTTTGTTTTCGGATCTAAATATATAGCCATCACTGGTCTTGGACAGATTTCTGAAAAGATAAGTTTCTGAATTAGTTTCTTCCTTTAATCCAGAATTTTTCCAAGAAACATTCCATACACTTCACAGGACACACCTTTGTCCCTGTTCTACCAATAACCAACCAAGCTCCATCTCTGTATACATCGGTCTTGGACCTTTCATAAACACAGTCATATGAGAATCAAAAAACAACAAATCGCCATGCTTAATATTAAGCAACTCAGCAGACCGCATAAAACCTGCGAATGCAAGCAAACACATACACACAGTTCTCAAATTATATACATTTTGGTTTTGCATTTTGCAATCAAACATCCTTTCAAGTACTTCAACCGTAATAGGCTCTTTCTTTTTAACGGGTTTAACTAACTTCCGTTTGGCTGCCTCCAACAAATTTATCACCAACGTGTTGTCCGTGGGAGTGGGCAAACCAACAATAACATGAAAGTGTCGAATACTATAAAACGCTGACTGCACGGGCGAAAAAGAACCCGACCGCTGTATAACTGACAGCAAATAAAGCGCACAATGTAAGGGAGATAACGGTAACCCTACAGGCATACCGTTAGAAACAGCCCACTTTCTCCAAGCACGGAAACCATACTTGTACTTTCTGCACGTGGAAGTCGCTCTGGCATGATTAAGCAGTCCCGGTATTGCTTTGGCTAATTCCTTCACACTCGGCGGTAGCTCTGCTATCTCGTCACCAAACACATGATCAAAAACACCTGTAACAGGAAATTCAAAACTGAACCCGAATCGCCATCATGTTAAAATTTAAATCATAAACACCAAACAGACCATTGCTTTGTCTGCTTGGGACATATGCATCTTTGTAAGTAGGCAGATAAACCACTTCCTTCACCTGTGAAACAAACTCTCCCCTAGGACATAACAATGGCCAAAAAGTAGCTGAATACCAAACAGGAACTATCAACGTAGTCCTGCCTTGACACATTCTCAAATGCCGTAATGACCTAGATACCAAATAAACAGGTGGCACTATCCAATTGTTGCCTTCAGACCAACTCATGGTAAATGCATCCACTCCACATGATCCAGGATTCCAATATCTGGAATAAAACCTAGCAACCTTGTTGTTATAATACGAGGCAAATACATCTATATCATATGGACCCCACATACTCTGTATGTGCTGATATACAAAATCACTGATTCCCCAATCGTCCGTGTCCACAAGCTTGCTAAGATAATCTGATCTCTTATTTTCTGACCGGGGTATCCACTGCATTTCCAACTGAATCTGACCTTGGAGACAAAGATTAAAAATGTCCATTGCAATGCTTTGCAGCCCAGATTTCATAGATCCTTTAGCTACAATCGATTCAACATTTTTATTATCAGAAAACCATTTGATTCTGTGTGACTTCAGCAAAGGGAGAAAACTCTGCAGAACCATATACACTGCCTTTAATTCCCTGTGTGTAGAACTCAACGCAGCTTCTTCCACCGACCACTGCCCATGAGACTGTTCCTCACCAAACAGTACACAATACCCGCCGAAGCCGACACTACTGGCGTCACTGTATACCACTCTCGTTACTATGGACTGATCACACCATATTCTCTCTCTATATTTATTTATCTCATGTAACCAAAACTCGAGTTGATGTTTGCTGTACTGTGTCTAAACAACAAACTCATTCCATGATGTTATACTCACCGTCTGCATAGACAAAGCCCTAGTCATGAGCTGAGCGACAGATCCTACAACCAAACTCATGCTCATCACCTGCCCCGCGACTGAAGCCACTTTTCTAACCGGGACAATACCACTACCTTTCAATAACGGGATGATACTCTGATGTAACTTATCAACCTTCCGACGAGGGATTGATAGTTTCATACACTTCGTGTCAATTATTAAGCCAAGCCATTCCATAACCTGACATGGAGCCCACAAAGATTTTTCACTTTTTGGTACAAAACCGGACTTTATGAGATCTTGCTTCAACATCATTTCCAATAATCGTAGTATTAGCCATAGAGTCACTGGACAAAATACCATCATCAAGAAAAGTAACAATTCTATAGCCTTTGTAACGCCAATACTTACCACTTGACGGGTCACCTTGGTGAAAACATAAGGCGCCGATGTAAGCCCGAATGGCAAAACAACAAACTTGTAATATGTCATTTTTTTACCAGTCCCCCATGAGAAACCTAAGTATTGGGAATGAAGAGGAAATATGTCAATATGGTGATAAGCCGAGTGAATATCAAACTTTACAAGCCAGTCATTTTTGTTTATGTACATGATGGCTGTCCTCCAATCTTCATATTTCACCGATTGTTTCCATACATGCTTGTTGACCCATGACAAGTCTAAGATCAGTCTCTTCTTACCT